GGGGTGCGTGTGCACCGGGCCCGGCACGCCCGGCCACCGCTCTGGGTCTCACGGGGAGTGGCACGTTTGGCATGTCCCAGGGCACACCCAGATGCAAACACGCAGTGAACAGCTTCAGAGCTGAACGAACCCCAAGTTCCTCAGGCCACAGCCCCGCCCCGCGGGTCACGGCTCATCCGGGCACGCTCCCCCAGGGCCCCAGAGAACCCAGTGTGAAAAGCTGGCAGTTTGGTGAAAGCGCAATTATTCAGCGGTTGCCCCGCAGCGTGTCGAAGACAGAACCGTAGCGGAGTCTTCGCCGGTCAGCGTCTGCCGCTGGCGGTGTGACCTTGTCTGCCGCTGGCGGTGTGACCTCTTGCAGCGGGTGACACGTGTCCGCCCTAGTTCTGTGCCCTCTGCTCTCCGCCCCCTCCTCTCGTTCCCGACACCTGCCATCTTCCACGAGAGGCCACGGTGTCACCCTCCCCTCTTTGCTCATGTTCCTGGGTTCAAAGCAGGAAGGCTTCTGCTTCCATACGCCTCGCAGGACACGAGCGTGGGGCCAGGGTGGACGTGGACGCGCACCCAGCTCGTACCTCAGGAAGCCGGTCAGGCCATTCAAGCCCCGCTGCTCTGAGCCCGCAGACTTGATGCTGTTATTCTTGGTGCCCGTCTCCTCAGCCGGCGACACCTCATAGGCCGTCCACCTGCGTCCCTGCTCCAGGGGGTTCTAGAATCAGCCACGAGTCCCGCTCAGCAGTTCACACACCACACGCACACACACAATACGCACCACACCACACACACAGTACACACCACGCACATCATACACGTACCACACCCCCCACATATTACACGTGCACACACATCGCATTTCACACACGTGCACACACGCACGCACACGCACACTGAAAGCTCCTGTCAGGACTTACGCCCCCCAGGCCCTTCCCCAGACTCACTGGGCAGCCCGCCCTGCTCCGTCCTGCAGGACTCCGTGGCCCGTGCCGGGCCTCTGGCGGGCCGGTCCCCCGCACCCCGAGCCAGCTCCCTCGGGGGAGTCTGTCCCTCGGCCTCGCCCGTCTCCCCACCGTGGGCTTCACTTTCCTTCCCTGTGTGCTGCTTCCATATTTGTTTGTCTGTTTATTCTTCCTGCTCTTTCTGGAAAGTCCTCCTCTGCTCTGTGTCTCCTGTGTCAGACGCCTGGGACTAAGGAAGGACAGGCTGTCAAGCGGGCCACCCACCCGGGTTCCAGTCCCAGCGCACACGTAATGGCTCGTGCCCCAGAAATCAAGGATCTTAACAGCACCCGCTTTTGAGGGTCTGCATGAGATTCGAGAGACCTCGGGGCATGCAGAAGCGCCCTGGGCCCGCGAGCGCCCGGTCAGGGTCTGCGGCCGTGCTGGTCACTTCCCCTGGGGACTCCGGCGACCTGCGGGTCCCGGCTGCAGCATCGGGGCGTCCGGCGTCGCCCGCTCCGCCTGCCCGCCCCACCGCGGGGATGAGCAATGCCGGGCGGGTCGCTGCGGTGACCCTCGTTACTCTTCCTCGGAGCTCGGCCTTGACCGAACCTGGCGTCGCAGCGAGCGCGGCGGGCCAGCTGCTTCGCGCGGCGTCCGTCCCGGG